GATGATGGGGAGGGGCCAGAGTAGGAGATGGATAGGATGATGGGGAGGGGGTGGAGTAGGAGATGGATAGGATGATGGGGAGGGGGCAGAGTAAGAGACGGACAAGATGATGGAGGGATTGAGTCAAAGTAGACATGATAGGAATGGGATGTGGCATGATGGAGGGTAGAAGTTTAGAGGATAGGATGATGGAGGTTGGATACAAAGTGCAAAACTTTACTTAAGAGGATTTTTTGCACCATCCATCAAACTCACAGATGTACTGCTTATATATATATATTGTCATCCAGGTCTAGTCTGACTGTACTGGACCCACATTCTTTAGGCATTCCTCTCTCCTGTGAAGAACTGTGAAGCCTTTGTACCCATATCTCCCTTGTTGGTGGTCTGTGTTGATTTACTTTTGAAGGACAGGTGCCCTTCAACACACAGTCTGCACACAGCACTAACTAGGTTTTTTCTCCTAGAGTATAATGAATTTTATCGCTAAGGTCGATAAAATACCTTGTACATCTGTATTGCAGTCGTATGCCAACCAATCTTGTAAAAAAATGGATGAAGCTTGGTTAGTACATGTATACACCTGTAATTTAGTAACCATATTTGTATAACTTGGATATCTCGTAACATACATGTAAGCTGTTGTTACAGGAAAGAAATTAAAATTCATGACAAGCAGCGAGCCATGACGGCTTTGCCGTTCTAGTTTTGTATTGGCCAGCATTGATGATGTGCAGTACCAAGGAAGTGGACAAGTGGTCAGACTCTGCAAAAAAAAAGAATTTTTTTTGAACTCAGCAGTTATGAGAAAGAAATACCGGTAAGACAAGCAAAGTTCTATAAAATGTTCCAAGGATCGCGACACCATTACAACATGAACAGTGAATGTGTGCATTGGCTGGTTCGAGTTGATTATACCCACAATGTACCGTATTATTAATAAATGTCTGACAATTTCAAGGGTTGCGGAAAAGACTTTACAGTCCGTCTTGAGCCACTTCCCGGATTTTATCCTGGAAAGGTTTTTACATGTAACTAGACTGTATATACATGTTCATACATGTACACATGTACATGTTTTGCAACTACGTGCAGACAAACACAAAAAATGAAATTGAAACGATGTTAATAGAATAGCACAAGGATCAGGATAAGGATGTATCAATACGGAAATTAAAACATAAAATGGACATGATAACACCCACTGACCTACATTGTATAAAAGTAAGGAAACCAGAAATGTTGAGTAAAAAGATACAATGTATAACTTGTATAACTTACACGTAACAACAAATATGTACAATGTACATGTACATGTACGCATGTACAATGTACTGTACATGTATGATTGGCTAGTTGCATGCTTAGATCATGAAGTGTTACAATGAGAAAAGTAAAAGCTAGCTAGAAAATTTAACATAAACAATGATCAAGCTGTAAAACTGTACACTAAAAACAGTGTACAATTTTGGGACAAGTCTAATTTCTTTTAACCTTGAAGATCTTAGATTTGACTGGAATTTATAAGCACACTCAAACTTGCAGACTTGCTGAGGTTTGAGAACTTGAATAGTATCTTACCGATAACATCTGTGATTGATTCTCAACCAATACAAAATTGCAATCAATGCACAACATGTGCAAGTACATTCACATATGTAGGACTAATGTATGTGTACGTGTACATACAATGTACATGTACATGGTACAGTGTAAATGTACATGTATACATTTTGTCATTAAGAAGTTGTGGAAGGCGCTCTTGATCGTCATAGTTTTGGTTGTAAACAATTTTGCCCGTTTCATTGTGTGCATCACCATGTGGTCTTACAGTGCCAGGAATTGACCCAGTTTTTCTAACTGAAAAACAAGGGCACAGAGACGCTCCTCCTTGCTCTTGTAATGCTTGTCGAGATTAAGACCAAATTACCGCACATGTACAGCCTGACCACCATTTCTTGAAGAGAGCTCCTGTGATTATGCAAACGGTGTATTCCATCTGGAAAAAAAAAAAAAAAACAAGATGCCTGCCAGCAAATAGGGCGTCAGTGTTATGCCATCACGTATTCTCGGGTAAACATCGCCTTCCGATCACATCGTCTTGATTCTGAGTTTATGCTCCCCTCATCCCCCTCCCCCCAGGGAGAAAAAAAGTGTCTGACGCCAAAACAGTTGACTTTTCACTTGGGCTGTGCAATATTGCCAGGTTGCTGGTGAGCAGCTTGATCTGTCCTTTGGGCTACAACAAGACAGTGATCGAATGTGGGTTTTGAACTCCTGAATCTCAGACTGTAATGCATGAGTACATGTATTGACTACCTTTGCCCAAGATAGTGTGCTGGACTGTCCGGGGAGGGGGGGTATATTAACCAGGCTTTGACTGAGCATGGAAGTGACCCAATTAAGGCATCCTAATTTTAGGTCAGCTACTGGTATAGTATGTGTACAGCTTGTAGAAGGATCAAGGAAATACTGCATGTACATGTACATGTAGTACAAATAGGTACTGGTATGAAAGAAGCAAGAGGGAATAGTCTCACCTCCATAAATTTCAAACATGTCCACCCCCACAATAGGCCTTTCTGCAGAAATTCTGTGAACAGGTTTTGGGGTTTGCTCCCATTTATGGTACCTGTACATGTACATGTACCTTGTTCGAAATGTCTGAATGAGTA